AGCCAGGGTGTTCAGAAAATGGTAAAATAAAAAACAATTTGGAGATCCAGGATGTCCCTGCTGAAAAGAGAAACGACAGTGTGCATACCTCATCCTCCTGGAGATAGATCCCTTTTCCATCTTGACTTAAGTTTTTAAACACCTCTGCAATCAAAAGAAAGTTTTATGTAAGCAGATTGCTTTGTTCAAAGCAAAATTAAAAAGTAATGATGACCAACCACCCATAGCAACCAATCAAATTTCAGCATTCATTGGTGCAAAGGATACAGCACAATGAATGGCAGTCGCCACTTTGTTACTATGGGGCCCCTGAGCACAGCACTCAATACCTTTCTGGAAAGAATTAAATTAATAGATTGTGATATTTAGTCAACTTCTACCCAAAAGCTTTTAGGAAGGTTAGATGGGTGATTTACAGTACATCTTTTAGACATAATATTGGGGAAGTCCCTTTTTGCTTGATATGTATTTGCAATGGAAATTGTGGTTCCCTGTTCACTCCTGCTTTAACTCAAGGAAATGACCCTCCACCATCTTCTAGAACACACAACATATGGAACGTATTTAAAACCCCAATTATCTTTCAGAGTGGGGGAGGATCAGAACCTCTGTTCATTTTTAGATTGCCGTGACAATAATTTAAAGCGGCCTTTCTCCACCTCTCTTTTCATTAGTGGTCAGTATAGAAGTGACCCCTTTGGTCTCTTGGATACACTGGTGGTTAGTGGAAAATTGCCACCTTGGATTAGTGGTCATTGTAAGTGGAAGATCAATCCACCATCGCTCACTGTCCAAGGAACTCCTAGCAGGTACTGGAGGAACCCAGGTCTCCGGGGAACCTTGGTTGGGAAAGGCTGCCTTAAAGCATTTGATCACTTTTGAATGAATAATATTTAACTGATCAGTTTTCCATAGCTGTCTGGAGTTCTGCTTTAATGGTTCTGAAAGCACCCATCTGACCTTAATATTAAAAAGCAATCATATGACTAATCAGATTGGCAAAGAAATAATTGACTTGCTTGACTCAACGACGTGTCTCGCTTAGATTGAAGGATTGATTAATGTAGTAATTGCACTGGACGGTTGATATTAAAGGATCAGTTCACCCAATTTGCTATTGTTTACATTTTTTGTAGATCTTGGAGAGTCAAACTATCTGACAGTTTCTTTTCTTGAGGACTTTGTCGGTGAGATCTCTGCACTGAGCTCCTGAGTCTGCACACCTGCTGTGCCTATTATGAAGGGCTCCCAAAATTATTTATTCCATATTATGGAGAATGTAACAGAATGAAACTGAAATGTGAAAAGGTGGGCTGGAATACCCAAAACTTCTAGATGGACAAGAACAGAGTCAGACATTATGGCAGGGAGATCTCAGTGTAAGACAAGGGTGTCAAACTGGTCCCTCCAGCTGTTGTGAAACTACCTGTCCCATCATGCCTCTGCATTTCAGAGTCATGCTTGTAACTGTCAATCTTGCAATGCCTCATGGGACTTGTAGTTTGCAACAGCTGGAGGGCAGCCAGTTTGACACCCGTGGTGTAGGAATACCCATGACAAATAAGAACCTAGAAAGGTAGGAGTTAAAATATTGGGTGGACTGATCATTTAAATTCACACACACACACACTTTAGATGTGTGGTCATCATGTCTTTGATAACAAAGCAATTGGTTTGAAAGATCAGAAGTGAGTTTAATAGATAGGTTTACCCTTTTTTCACTTTGGTTTACGCAATAAAACAACGCTAAGTCCATGTGAAAAGTGCAGCAAAGCATATAAACCAATCAGAAATGGACATGGCTGAAAAAAAATATATTTTTGGCCATTATGAATTTTAGCTGCTTAAACCTCATTGTTGAACTTTACATTGGTTTATGGAATAAGCTCTTTGATTGCGCCTTCAATAAGGCAAAGCACAAAGTGCATGACATGCTATCAAGTATTAACCAGTTAGAACTTTTTTTTCATGGATATATTGTGAACTGACAAATACCCAAATATTATACGTGATTATAATTAATAGCATGACATTAACATATGAGCCCTTAATATGTCCTACATTTTGCAAAAACGTCATGAACGTCCCTTCCCCACGTCATACCTGTACCGCTGGTGGGCGGTGACGATAGTACAAAGTGGGGTAGGGACTGGTAGAGGCACGCCAAGACGATCGTGGAGCCGGCGGCAAGGACAAGGTTCGGCGTAGAGTACGAGGCCCTGCAAAGGGGAGGAGGAGCACAGCTTGCATTAGTGAGCAATGCACAGCTGCCAACAACAGGGGGCAGTACTGCTCCCAATTGACTCCTCCCTCCCCTTCATGGGACCGCGGACATTAGCCTGCAGACGATAATTCCCATCAGACTCCAGGCCTTGTCTCCTGGTTACCATTAATTCAGTCATTTTGTATACCTAGAACTGAACACTTGCAAGAAATCTCATTAGACATTTGGACTACTGGTGATGTTTTGCAGAAAAGAAGTAAACAATATAAAATGTAGAATATTAACTAAATGTTGGGCCATCTAACACATACTGGTGCAAATTTAAATGCTAAGTAAAAAGGAAGGTGGAGAGTATAGAATATAAAAGCCCAACTGAGCTTTCAGTTTAAATCAGCTAAATACATTCCAGGTGCATCAAATCAAAAGATGGGCAAAACCTTAGGCTACTTTCACACTGATCTGCCGTGCTTTTGCCGCTTTTTTTAAAGGACACATGACTTAAGACTGCATCAATAACGCTTCTCAGAGGTGTTTTCCATTGATTTCAATGGGAAGAGGTGTTTTTGGGGCATTTTTTTTTAACTCCCCAAACATGCCCCAAAGATGCTGCAAGCTGGGGTTTTTACACCACACTGCAAGCGCAACGCCTCGGTGTGAAAACATACATAGATATACATTCACATACATAGGGAAGCAGTTTTCTTGAGCTTTTCAGGCGCTTTTTTTAACGCAAAAACGCTTGAAAAACTCCTCAGTGTGAAAGTAGCCTTAACCACATCCCAACCGCCCTATAGAAGATATACTGCTACAGGACAGCAGGGGTGCGCAAAATCATGTATATATACGTGATTTTGTATTTCCAGGTAGGGGGTGAGAAAACCTACCTGCACCGCCATTCACGGCTGTCAATCACTGGGTCTTGGCCAGTGATTCCCCACTGGTGCCCGCTAATTACCGAGCACCTCTGATGGGGAGGAGGACTGCTTTGTATACTAACAGTCCTCCTCTCTGTCACCTTGGGCACACTGCTCTGGATAGCAGCGCACAGTACAGCCATCCAGAGCAGTGTGCTTACAGTGAAGCACCAACACACCGCCCTCCAGTAAAACACTCCCAGCACACAGTTAACCCTTTGATCGCCCCTCATGTTCAGCCCTTCCTGCCCAGTGTCATTAGTACAGTGTCAGTGCTTTTTTTTTTAGCACTGATCAATCTATTGGTGTCACTGGGGATGTCAGTGACACCAAGTCAGTTCCCCCCCAGTGTCAGAATGCCCACTGCAGTCCCGCAGTCTCGCTATAAGTTGCTGATTGCTGCCATTACTAGTAAAAAGAATAAAATTCCAGTATCTATACAGCCATTTGTAAATGCTATAACTTTCACGTAAACCAATTAATTTACACGTATTGGGATTTTTTTCTACCAAAGACATATAGCAGAATACATTTTGGAGTAAATTTATGACGAAATTTGATTTTTTAAAAAATTTTTACTGGACATGTTTAATAGCAAAAACTCAAAATTATCTTTTTTTTTCTCAAAATTGTCGGTCAATTTTTTTTCAAAGCGACTTCGGTAATGTCCATTGGAACGGCTCTCATAGAGATACATGGCATTTCACATGTCCTGCGATTTTGGGTCTCACAAGTTGCAGGAGTGTGAACCGAGCCTTAAAAGTGAAGTGCAGGATTTTTTTTTTCATACTTATCTAGGTGCATGCTGCATTGGTCTCCGGCCGGCTCTAAGGCTGAGAACTCACATTATCACTGATCGCTGAGTTCTCACAGCCGCTCTGAGCAGAGAGCATGACTGTCAGTCACCGCTCTCTGCTCTGCCCCCCCCCCCAGTGATGGGCTGTGTAAGGGGAGGGAACAGCTGAGTCAGGCTCTCAGCAGTTCGCTCAAAGGCCGAGCCAGGTGCCGCTCCAGACTCTAAGGTGGATCCCGACTTTAAAGTCGGGATCTTTCCCCCAGCCTGGACTGACTGGGGTCCAGGCAAATGAACTGCACTCCTGTGATCCACAGGAGAAGCACATTCAAAAGAGTTTTGGCTGTACTCCTCCTTTAATGGACCCTTAGACTTTACTATGCTTAGGGGAATGTATTTAGATGATTTAAAGTAAAGGCTCAGTCGTAATCTAACAAAGGAAACTTTTAACAGTTTCTTTTTTACTCATTTCCATTAATAAGGCACATCATCCTTCTAAGAAATAATGATGAAAATGAAAATATAAATATAACAAAACAATATAAAATAAAAAAGATGAATAATAAATTGGCTGTGCTAAGAGTATGGAGCATATACAAGAATCTATAGCAGCCAATCAGTCTGCTGAAGTCAGTCGTTTGCAGATTAGCGGGGACAGGTTACGCATTGTTCCTTGATGCAAGCACGGCTCTCCAACACTGGCTGTATCTGAATACGGCTCACAAGATGACATTTTGAGGTCATGGATTCCTCATATAATCTACCAGGAATATCTGCAATCTTAAAATAAATAGCCTCTTCTGTAGTATTCAATGACTGAAGTATTACTTAATGTCCTTAATTATATTCCTATGCTCCTCTTAGCCACCATTTATCAAGTGCGACCCCTCCCCCCATATCCCAGGAAAGCAGAATGCGCCCGGGGCGATCAATGCACTCCTATGGTCATGCGGTGCTTTGACGTACCTCCATTGATCTCCAGCCTCAGCATGAGGCAGACAAAATTCTCAAAATTGATTTTCAGAGAGGAGTTGCCATATCGCAGCGCCATTAAGTTGCAAAATTGATGGCTTAATGTTATTCCTTTTGAGCAGGAGAAAGAAAAAAAAAATGAACGTAAGAAGGTGCAAATTAATACTAAAACAAAATAATAACAAAGAGAAAAACAATAACGTGATTGAGGATATCTATTTCTAACTGTGTCTGCATTACTAAAATAAAACAGCCAATCAAAACCTATGTTCATGCTTACAGACACAACAAATCTAAGCATAAGCACAATACTCCTCTGACCAGGGGCGGACTGACAACTCATGGGGCCCCCAGGCAATAGGGGATTATGGGGCCCCTGTGTCCTTGCCCACACTCAAAAAAAGCCTATAAAAAAGGTACCAGGGGCATTTCATAGGGCCCCGTACTGACCCTGGGCCCTCGGGCAGTGCCGAGTTCTCGAATGGTCAGTCTGCCCCTGCCTATGACTGCTAAAGTCTCAACTCTGTCTGGAAATGCATGCTGGAAATTGTAGTTCCTCTAAGAAAGTTATCTATTCTTAGGTTGAGCAATCATTATAAAATCTGATTCAGGAATCTCCTTTAGATCTACCTTCAACTATGTTGTGCAAGTCCTGTCTGATTCCATACTAATTAAATAGATTGCTTAGTTATGTCCTTAAATTACATGTGTGGTGTTGTATACCATCCCTCTGAAGAACAATCCATGGTGGATCATTTTTCAGGGGCATTTGACATGTGGCTTGGAGGTGATATGTCACCTCCTGAATACCTGTTTTAACAAGGGAAAGCCAGCAGCACCGTGCTGCAGCCGCGTACATTGACCACAGTTATAGTGCGGTCTCTTGTGTAAACTAGGTCTTAAGGAGTTTGTACAGAGATTGCATAGTGTATGGCCAGCCTTAGGTTATATCCCAGCAAATATACAAAAAACAGAGGCTCAGATAATGTAGTAGAAAGCTACAGCTCTGTACCAGGAGTAACAAGTCCTGGATAACCTGTTGGTGGCACTGTGCCTCTCAGAATGGGAGGTTGTATTTTTAGTATCCACCAGCGGGTGTGTCCCAGCAGCCATCAGATTCCAGTAAACTGCATCCACCTGATGCTGGCTGCTGAGAGGGTATTTAGTCCCACCTCTACTATTACACTTCGCTTCAGTCATTTGCTTTGCTAGCCAGATGCTTCTTGCCATTTATCCTGCTCCTGATCTTGCTCTTGCCCTGCATCCTGTACTCCATACCTTGCACCCTGCGGCCTTATATGTGCTCCCTTTATTCCTGATCCCAGTCCCTGATCCCGCTTCCCCCTCCTTCTTGCATCTCTGGTATTACCCTGTTTATCTGTGTTCATCATTTTTGTACATATTGTATCTAGTTTGTTAGTTAGGCTGTTACTTAGGGTGCTAGTTAGGCATTTTTGCTGTGGTTATGGTTCACGTGTATCTTCACATTTGCTGTGTTTGCTGGTGTTTAGATGATTTAAGTTTCATTGTAAAGCTACATTCACACTAGCTTTGTAAACAGGCATTTTGCAGGCATTTGAGGGGCATTTTTAACGCTCCTCAAATGCCTATGACAATTAAACACATGGCAGCACACAGTGCTGTTCACACTGAAGCATTAGCGTTGCAGCAAAATTGACACCCCATGTCAAGTCAGGAGGAGTTGAAGCCTTTCAACTCCTCCCATTCAAGTCTATGGTGATGCTCCTCAAATGCCTGGCAGGCATTTGCAGGGCGGAAATACCATTAACTACATGAGAGGCATTTGTGGTGCGGTTTTACTGCTTGGAAAACGCCAATGAAACACTTCAAAAACGCGCATAGGGTGTTTGGGGAGCAACTGGGGAGTGTTTGAGGAGCATTAAAACCGCTCCCCAAACTCCCGTCTAACGCCTGTCAAACCCTATAGGGGTGTTTGGAAAGAAGTCAAGTGTGAACAAGCCCTAAATAAATCTTATTTAACCTCTTCACGCCGGCTGAACGCAAATGTGCGGCCTCCGGCATCTGGGCCTAGACGCCGAGCGGCCGCACATTTGCGTTCTATTAAAAAAGAACATATGTGCTGAGAGCGCGCACCGTGTGCACTCCCAGCACACATGTCCGGTACTCACGGAAAGGTCCCGATCTCCTGGGACCTTTCCCGATCATGTGACCACTGTAGCAGCGTGTCATGGCAGTCACGTTACCCTATAAACCCCGCCTCCCGACTTCTGAAACCCTTAAAGGGCCGGGAGGCGCCGGCGCGAAGGGGTTAAAGCATACACAGTCTGGTCTCCTAAGCGTACCCACGCAGATCTAGCCATCCCTGTTGCTGATCCCTGACAAGGAGTTTTTTTGGCTATCAATTCATTGGCAGGAAAGCTACTCAATGAATGAAAGGAATGAAAAATTACTATTTGGGCTTATATGTTTTTAAATAAATGTTTATCATCTTCAGAAGGAGGTCAGCAATGGGAGCCTACATATTTTTCTCATGGCAGTCCTTAAAAGGACCATTGTCCTTCTAAAGCACCAGCAACAAGATACCAATCCTTTGCAGGAACCAGAACCAATCTACTAGTAATTCCTTGTGTTTGACTTTCATGAAGGTGAAAAACAAAATTTACCTTTTTCTTGTATGGCAGCTTGGAGGTCACTGAGTTTCAGAAATCCCGATCTGTCAATGTCTCTCCTTTGGAAAATCTCCTATGAAAACAATGAGATTACAAGGTTAGATTTTTTTTTTTTCCTTTTTTTTTGCTTCTTTAAAAATAGAAATGCTTTATTCCGAATGGCGCGAGCAGCGCTCATAAATCTCAATTTCAGTCTGAGCAAACAGAACATTATATAATGCATCTGGGAAGATTAGCTGGGATTGACCTTTCGATGGTTGCGTGTTCTACAAGGGTAAACCTCGGTTTCCTCTATTATTCGGAGAGCGAGGGGCAGAAGATAAAAGAATATTTATGTCACCAGTGCCGTGGTGGATATATGCTCTGATTTCAAACTGCCAGGACCTATTTATTCCCTAATTGCATCATAAACACTGGCTGGTGTCAACGGTACCATGACTGTAATTAAATATTCTAAATGTACATTCTGAGCAATATGCAGGCTAGCAGGGCATATTAATGTAAGCAGCACTGTAGCCTCATTCTGTTTACTCGAAAATCAGAACAGAAAAACAAAGTTAACACATCGGTCGCATCAAACCCTACTTTAACCACTTGCCCTCCTGAGGATTTACCCCCCTTAATGACCAGGCCTCTTTTTTCTACTCGGCGCTGCACTAATTCAACTGTTAATTGCGCGCTCATGCAATGCTGCACCCAAACAAAATTTACATCCTTTTTTTCACACAAATAGAGCTTTCTTTCGATGGTATTTGATCACCTGTGCGCTTTTTATTTTTCACGCTATAAACAAAAAAAAAACCAAAAATTTTGAAGAAAAATGATATTTTTTACTTTCAGCTATAAAAAATATATATAGTAAACTCAAAGTTAATTATAAATTTAGGCCAAAATGTATTCTGCTACATGTTTTTGGTAAAAAAAAATTCCAATAAGTGTATATTGATTGCTTTGTGTGAAAGTTATAGCATCTACAAACTATGGTATAAATACTGCAATTTACGCCATTTTTTTGCTATACAGCGCTGCGCTAGTTTAACGGACAATTGCGCGGTCATGCAATACGGTACATAAATGAAATTTACATCCTTTTTTTCCCACAAATTGAGCTTTCTTTCAGTGGTATTTTGATCGCCTGTGCGGTTTTTATTTTTTGCTCTATAAAAAAAAAGGCTGACAATTTTGAGAAACAAAACAATATTTTGGACTTTGCTATAAAACATGTCCAGTAAAAAAATGTAAAAATCAAATTTAGTCATAAATTTCTGCCAAAATGTATTCTGTGACATGTCTTAAAAAAAATCCCAATACGTGTAAAATACATGAAAGTTATAGCGTCTACAAATGGTGGCAATCAGCGACTTATGGCGGTGATCAGCGATTTATGACAGTGATCAGCGACTTATGGCGGGACTGCGGCGGACATTTTGACACTGGGGGGAACTGACTTGGGGTCACTAACATCCCCAGTGACACCAATACAGTGATCAGTGCAAAAAAAAAAAAAAACACTGACACTGTAATAATGGCACTGGGGAGGAAGGGGTTAACTTATATTAGGTAAAGAAAGGGTTAACTGTGTGAGGGGAGTGTTTTACTAGGGGGCGGGGGTGTGTGTACTTCACAGGAACACGCTGATCCCGAGAGATAAAGTCTTCTCTCAGGTTCAGCATGCTCTGAACTGACAGATAGCACTGCTGCATTGTTTACATTGCAGCTCTGCTATCTGTCAGTGATTACTTGTAATTGCCGGCATCCGGCGGGAAATGACCTGCTGGGAGCCGGTGACGGACACCCGCTGCCACAATCGGCGGGACGGGTAGGGCAGGCACGAGCCTCGTGCGCGCCCCCTACCTGTTTTGCACAGCGACGTTAAAAGACGGCGCTGTGCGCACAGGTGCCTCCCTGCCGCAGTAAAAACACTGCGGCGGGTTGGCAAGCGGTTAAAATTGTGCGACTTACAGTGAAGCCGCACGATTTCGAAGTCGGATGACATGTCGATTTCAGGTGCGATTTGCAAGACATTATTATTATTATACAGGATTATATATAGCACCAACAGTTTGCTCAGCGCTTTACAAAATATCTGATACAGATGTCTATGCAAATCACACCAAAAGTAGTGCATGTACTACTTTAGAAATCGGTGTGGCTCCGACCAAGTTGGAACCGCACTGATATGACCGCTCTAATAGCGGACAATAGGCTGTGATTTTGCATGCAATTTGCATGCCGTGCGACTTGTAATTCCATCCAGTGTGACTGGGGTCTTAAAGTGAACAAATATTTCACTGCATTTGGAAGGTTTTATTCCCTTCATGAGCTGGCCATTTTTTTGCTATTCAGGGCTGAACTACTTTATCTGGTAGCTGAACATTCATCTAAAATAAAAACCATCTTCTTAATTCTTTATTCCTTTGATGTAATAATCCAAATGTGGTATAGGCATCCACCGTGTACCTCAAAAAGATTTTTGGACTTTCAGGGTGAAAATGTGACTTTTTGAGTGTCAATTAAGGGTTTTCGTTATTTGTTTTATTTTATTTTATTTGAACACCGATTTTTGAATATTAGCTGATCATTCATGCAACACTGTACCCAAATAAAATTTATATAATTTTTTTGACACAAATAGAGCTTTCATTTAGTGGCATTTAATCACTACTGGGTTTTTTATTTTTTGCTATATGAACGAAGAAAACACAGAAGATCTTGAAAAAAAAAAAGATATTTTCTCATTTCTTTTACAACATATCAAATAAAATCAAATTTATTCATAAATTTAGGACAAAATGTATTCAGCTACATGTCTTTGGTAAAAAATATAAAATCCCAATACGTGTATATTAAATGGTTTGTGTGAAAAGTTATAGTCTACATACTATGGTATATATATTTGAAAAGTGATCAAACCTGATGTATTGATGGCTTATATAATTTCTTGAGGCCCTTAAAATGCCAAGACAGTAAAAAATATCTCCCAAATGACCCCTTTTTGGAAAGTAGACAGTCTGAGATATTTAGTAAGGGGCATGGCGAGTTTTTTTATGTTGGAATGTTTTGTCATAATTTTTTGGAAAATGAAGAAATTAACTACAATTTGTTTTTGTCACTTTTTTTTTTTAAACATATTGTCATCAGTGCAGTACAGTGTCATCATATCACTGGCGTTGCAATGATCAGGGATACTGACTGGTGACAGTATGTTAAAAATTAAAATTTTTTAAACTTTGAATAATTTTTTTTTACTTACTTTCATCGGAGTAGTTCAGTGTCACCATAGTAACACTTTTTTTTCACTTTAATTGCTGTTACAGTGATGATCACTGTAACAGCAATGTTTTGAACTGTCATGAATGGATTACATTCATTAGAGCTGTGATTGCTATTGTGCTGTGATTGGCTCACAGCTATTACATGGTACAGGGTGCTGTGATTGGCCCAGGTACCATGAGATAGCTGTGAGCCAATGACAGCATCACTATAGGAATAACAGCTGTTATGAATGAAATTCATTGTGATCGTGTAATCGCAATCCAGTTGCTGCATGCCCTCGGCTGGACGACGTACATGATCCAGCCTTCCCGTGCCGCCCTGCGGCAGTAAATGTACTGTGGCTGGGCGGCAACTGCTTAAATTATAACTAAAGGCAAAACTTTTTTTTTTTTGTTTTAGACTGAGTGGATAGGGATTAGAACCCCTGCCAGTTTTATTACTGTCTATGCGCTCGTTAGGGAGCATCACCCTCCCTATTTGTCCTGTTTACCATTATCATTGAAAGGGAAAGTAAAAGACATCAGAAAAGTAATAGAGGGTAAATCTTCCAATAGAGAAACTTGTTCTGGACACACCCCAGGATTACTCACTTTGGAGGGATTCCTTCTCACTTCCTGTTTTGGTTATGGGACAGGAAGTTAAGGGGAATCTTCCCAAAGGGACACAGATTGCAAAAAACTAACAGCAGGGATTTTAACCCTCTTTCACTCTACCCAAAATGAAAAAAAAAAAAACCAAAAAACAAGTTTTGCCTTTAGTTACACTATGTCCAGCCAAAACTTTTTTATGGTTATGGATGGAGCGAGGAAGGATTAGAGTCACTGTCATGTTTTACTGCTATTGGGACCAGTTATTTTCCCTCAGATACTGTCATGGTGACAACGGTTTAACCAGACAGGAATCATGGGAACATCTGCAACAGGAAGAATATGTATCTCTTGCCAAACCATTTTTTTTTTTTTTTTAATTTTGATAGTTTGGGGAATGGTAAGAACTTCTGGAAGGTTTTTTTTCTGTATGTATCCTATTGGGAATATATATCCCCACTTCCTGTCTCAGAGACACAACAGGAAGTCAATGGAAAATCTCACCCTTTTTCACTAGAAAAGGGTTCCTGCTGGAAGACTTCCCCTCACTTCCTGTTCTGGTGACAACTATAATGTTTTGGATCTCTAATCAATTTCAATCCAGTGGCAATGGTTACCAGGACATATAGAGAGGGTGAATCTCCCTAGAGACACAGACAGCAGTAAAAACCCAAAAGAGATTTTCATTCTCTTCAAAACCAAAATAATAATAATAATTATTGGAAAGACACGCTTGAAAAGTTTGGGGGATGCACACAGTACTTACGTGATGAGATAGTAACTGATTCCAGAGGTTGAGAAATGCTATCATGTTCAGGGTCCCAGATGCTCTAACCTGTATCATGAGTTAAGGCACAGAACCTATTGGATGTGTTACCCCTAGTTCACATATCCGCATTCCTGCGGTCCATGTTTTGCGCAGTCATGAGAGCACATTCATTTGAATGGACTCCCTTGCCCCAGGACACGCAGGGAAGAAGTCCCTGCCCTTCCTCTGAAAAGGCAGCCCCATGGGCGGACTGACCATTTGGAAACGCGGGCACTGCCCGAGGGACCGAGGTCAGTAGGGGGCCCCATGAGATGCCCTTGGTACCTTTTTCATAGGCTTTTTTGAGTTTTGGCAAGGACACAGGGGCCCCATGATCCCCTATTGCCCTGGGGGCCCCATGAATTGTCAGTCCGCCCCTGCGCAGCCCGCACGGGAACTGAGGCTCCCAGTACGGTTGTGATTTCCAGTGTGGGCGCCTTGCCATTAGAATTAATGGCACCTGCCTGTGGGTCCGCATTCCTCTGTGCGGGTGGTGCAGCTGTACAGATTTGTGTGCGGATCCGCAGCGGCACCACCCACACATATGTAAACCAAGCCTTAATAGTTATTTAGAATGAAGCCATTTTCAGCAGCTCAGTCTCTGTGCTGGGAGCACCTCCTGCACATAAAAATTGCCTGCTTAGTGACACATATGTGCAGAGTGTGGGCGTTAAGGCCCAGCTTTTTTCTGCCACACATATGGGTTAATGGGGTGGAAATGGGTTAAAGTGGTTGTAAACCTCAGACATGAGATATAAAAAAAGCATACCCCACTACAGTGTGTATTTGCCTCAATCCAGAGCATTAAGGTCATTTGTGTCTGCTGCTTAATTCCTCTATTATCAGCAAGAGATAAAAAGCTGACGGGGGAGAGAGCTCCAGCACACAGCCTGTGATTGACAGCCTTAGCTCTGTTCTTGTGTGCTGTGTGAAGGGGAGTGTGTGGCCTTTTCCAGTCGTCTCTCACTAAGCTCTGCAGAGTGTAATTTCAGCCCCCCTCCCCCCCGCTTTCTGAAAAGCTCAGACAAGCTGTATAAATTCTGAACTTTGAAGGGCTGTAGAGAAGGGATGGCTGCAGATAAACATGAACAACATATGCAGGAGAATTTGTTTCATGTCTGTGTATCATCTGAGGCCAATCACTTCACTGGGTACATGTAAGGGTTCACAACTACTTTAAAGGTTAAAAAGACCCAAAAAGTTCAGAGCCCTCTTGGTAGATCCTTGAATTAGAATCCCATAAACCGTCCATTCCCCGAATACCCCAACTAATGAAACGCTGCACGCAGTTCTCAGAAAAATAACAGCGTCCATGATTCAGCGTAATGATTTCACGGGGCCCTGGGGCATTGTAAGCAGTTCACAAATCAAAGCATTTTCACAAATCAGAAAGGATACGTCCAACTGAGCCATAATGACTTTGCAGGCATCTAGGCTAAACTTCACCGGAGCTTGCCTTGCGCCTAGGAGAGAACACACAGATCCACATTACGGTTCCGTCACAAACAAATGATTACTAAATTAATGTCATCGCATTTAAACTAACAAAACATAAAAGGCTTGTAAAGTAAAGGAAGCATCGGCCAGGGATCTCACAATGAAATGCATGATAGACCGATGAACAGCTGCGCCAGGAGCAGGAATCAGCCGCCGGGAGACTTGTGTTTGTTCATAAATCAAGATAATTAGCTATTATTGAATTGTTACAAAGCAGGATCAATTAAAGAACTTTGACTTAATAAGTGTGCTGATAAATTTAGCGCTTTGATTGGAGTCACACGGGATTCAGGCAGGGCTGTACAAAGACAAGATCTGCGGTCAGGCTTGAATGATGACGCTCTTCTGCACAGGCTCCACCCCTTTTGTTATGTAAGATGCACTCCCGCTTTACCTTCAGCCCGGGTTCACATATATGCAGTGCGGTATATTGCATGTGATTGATAGAGGAACCACACAGCATTCCTGTGCAAATCACATGCGATTTGTGTGCGGTGCGATTGGAGCCGTACATTTTGTATGTCTCTAATCGCACCGCACCCGCACCAAAAACGTGCAGGACACTTTTTTGGGTCTGCACTAGAATCGGATCACATGGGTATTCACACCTATGAGATCTGATTCTGCACATCACAGTGCGTTTTGCGGACCGCTTTTGGGGTCTTGTTTACATACACACCTGCAGCAGTTCGCACAAACGGAGTGAAATCCTGATGCTGTGCGGAATTCACACAGAAAATGCTGAGAATTCCGCACCACATCAGTGTGAACCAGGGCTCAGTCCTGCTCCTCTCCTGAATTGAAATTGCTCACTCTGACTTCACTGCACACTGTGAGCTTCTCACAGTGTACATTAGAAGCTGCAGCAAGTCAGATAAAACTCAATTTTTATTTAATTCTTATTTAAAAACTTATTTTTTTTTTTTTGCTGGAGGACTTTCAGCTTCATCTAGCTCTTTCCTCCCCAGCTTGACTGTCCCTGACCCACCCCATTCATTGATTGGATTCAGTTCTGTCAGTTATGGAGCTCAGCATAACATGTGAGCGTTACCTAGGGTGGTTTGTATGCAAACGCAGTGTTCCTAGGAATGCCCACTCCTGTCCATCAAGGTATTTTGATATTTGATAACTTCACCCAGGAGTCAGCCCACTGCTTGCATCAGGACTTGGGGAGTACTAAGGTAAGGTGAAGCCCCTCCCACCAGTCATGATCTGCCTGCATTGCATAGAGAAGCAAAGAGCCCCAGTGATTATGTCACTGGGTCTAAAATATGTTTAGCATGCTTGAATGATGATGGTCTTTTTTAGAGCACCCAACGTATTGTTGCATTATCATGCTCTGCAAAAACCTGAACAAAAATCCATACTGGATGCTGTCTAAATCTGGCAGTCACCACAATGTGAAGAGGCTATCACTATTGGACCACAGGTGGGGTTGAGGAACTGGCAAATTGAGGGTCGGCCCATTGTTTCTACTTACATAACAAAGACTTTTGCTTAGTACTCATGATGGGTACAACATGACAGCGGGCTCTCATTCTCCATTAAAATGGTGGCAGCCGTTAGCAGTCCCTTGAAACTGATGTTTCAGTCACTTCTAACAGGTCAGCAGTCTTTTATAATCCCTAGTAATATGCCTCTAATGGTCTAATGTGACTTGAACAGAGCCTCTACAGGGGTGTCAAACTGGTGGCCCTCCAGCTGTTGCAAAACTACAAGTCCCATCATGCCTCTGCCTTTAGGAGTCATGCTCATAACTGTCAATCTTGCAATGCCTCATGGGACTTATAGTTCGGCAACAGTCGGAGGGCCGCCAGTTTGACACCCGTGCGCGGCTAGCAGTTGCTTGTACCATGATAGCAAACAAAATATTCTCTAACAAGAAGTGAGATGACTTTTTCCACACTTACTTGTCCAGTTTCCTTTGTTCAACAGCATCTGTAGTTGGGAGACATTGATTTCTGGGTGCTGGGAGAGGAAAATGATACAGTTTAGTTTTTTTTTATTGATATTAAATCCTTAATAATGTCAACAATACCCTTTGACTTCCACTATTGCTTTTAACTAGATGCATAGGGGTTGATGCACTAAAACTGAGGAGTGCAAAATCCGGTGCAGCTGTGCATGGCGGCCAATCAGCATCTAACTGTAACTTGTTCAATTAAGCTTTGACAAAAAAATCTGGAAGCTGATTGGTTTCTATACAGAGCTGCATTAGATTTTGTACGCTCTAGTTTTAGTAAATCAAGCCCGTAATGTCCTACTTTAAGTGACCCCCCCCATCCCCCAACATTATCTTATCTACCTTAACCAATTGCCTTGCCCAGGAAAAAATCCTTCTTCTCTATGAGGTCAGTTGGCTTGAGGGTTATGAAGAGCAGGTACCACAAGGTCTTATTGGATCCCCCCTGATAACCCCATAAAACATGCTCTCTACTGGTCCAAGGCACCTTGACAGAGGGAAGCACCAAGCCAAACATGATGAGATTGTGGTTATCTTTAGATGTGAAACTTTTATGCAAAAAAAGCAATGACTAGGGGATGCAGATACTATTTAGATCAGTCACAAGACTCTCTATAGCTTGGACAAAATGATCACATCTTTGCTTTCTGTTATTTGGTGTCCTTGAGAGCTGTATATAGAATGACAGGCAGCATTCTGAATCCAATAATGCAATCTTGTTCTAGGAATTTCAACAAATGCCAAATTTTCAAAAAAAGTAGCAAATTGTGACAAATTATCCATTATCCATAGTTACTGGGAGTTTTCCACCAACTACTGCTTGGCACAAAAATACGCTTGTTCTAGGCACCCAACATATATGCAACCTTAATAATATCTTTTCACAAATTGCAACTATTCAGTGAAATGTATCAAATAGGGTTTTTTCTATTTTTGACGCCCCTGCCACAATTTAATAAGAGCATGCATTGTCACACCCCTGATAGTTTATTGGGCCCATTGTGACAAAGATGCATTGGGGTCAGGGGCGGGCTGACAACTCATGGGGCCCCGGGCAATAGGGATCATGGGGGCCCCTGTGTCCTTGCCCAAACTCAAAAAAGCCTATGAAAAAGGTACCAGGGGCATCTCATGGGGTCCCCTACTGGCACCAGGCCCTCGGGCAGTGCCTGATTTTCCAAATGGTCAGTCCGCCCCTGATTGGGGTTGACTTATTTTGGTTATTAATTACAGGCACTTATATATTGCTGTCAATTTAGACATATATATTGTACATTCACATCAGTCCCTAACCCTCAAGGGGTGTACAATCTAAGGTCCCTAACTTACAAATCATACATACACACAATAGGGCCAATTTAGACAGAATCCAATTAACCTACCAGCCTGTCTGTGGAGTGTGGGAGGAAACTGGACTACACAGGGGAAACCCATGCAGGCACAGGGAGAGCATGCAAACTTCAGGCAGGTGGTGCTGTGGTTGGGAATTGAACCAACGAGCCTAATACTGCCAGGTGGAAGTGCTAACCATTTAGCCACTGTGCTGGCTGAAGGCAACTCTGCTACTAAAGGCAAATAGACTGTGCACTTTGCAGATGCAGTTGCACTAATTTTCCTTAGTAAATGTAAATTAGTTAAAGCTTCACTTTGTAAAGAATACTCAATCAGGTGCAAATAAAGAACACATGATTGGATGATGGAAATCAGCAAAGCTTCACCACATTTTAATAAGATCTGGGCAAAATTAGTGTAACTGAACTTGCAAAGACCACAGTCTATTTGCCTTTAGTAAATCCACCTCATTGTGTGTATAAAGTCACATCCATGCACTGGAGCCTATGATAGGTGGTAGGAATCATTTGGTACTGTCTTGCCATGGTTTGACCTTTGTTTTAAATATCAATAGCAATGAACTGAAAAGTTCTGTTTGACAACTGGGAGGTGTATAATTCTTCCTCTTACCTTTTCAAAATACCTGATGATAACAGTTTCCAGCTCATCCTGTTTATCAGCAATTTTCTGTTTGAAAGGAAGAAAAGGATAATTAATTGCTGATTTATGTTTAAGCCTCAGATATTCTCTAAGATACCCTGCTGTAAGACCATTATTTCAACAAAAATCTTTCTCTAAAATGACACGTGCATGTAAAATATTTTATGGATGTATGGACCTGAAAAAGCCTCCCTTGTGTAGACACCAACATCTTGGATGTGATGTCAGCAGCCCCGGCAGACTCAGAGCTGGCATTCAATTGACACTGTATAGCAGCCATTCTCAACCTGGGTTCTATGGAATCCTAGGGTTCCTCCAGAGGTGTCTAGGGGATCCATGAGCTGTGGCTTATTAACCTCCTATTTGATGCTGCCTGCATAGTTCTAGTACCAACACCACTTGGTACAGCCAGTGGCATGACACCAGTTATCATTTTATCTGCCTGCCAGAGTGGCATTCTGATCACCACTGTAAGGGATGCATTATTCCCTTTAACCACCAATATTATGGGCATTGTTCGCACTGATCCCCAATAAATTGGTTTTATCAGAGTTTAAGGGTTCCTGTTGGGTGGAGGTTGAAAAAGACTGTTCTATAGTATTCCCCTTCACTCCTCTCCTGGCAGCTACATGAAAAGTTAGGGTGATGAGGGAGATGCCGAGGAGCTGGGCCATGAAAACATCACAGCACCCTGCCTCATTACTCCTCTCAAGAGCCACCTGTCCTGATGTTAACATTAGGGTAGTTCTTGGGGGAAATTATGCAAGTATTGAAATGCTTTGATAGGTGGATGTCAATCTGGAGCAGTGGACATTCCCAGCCTGGCTGCTTTTGCATGTAGACCATCTTAGGTAACACCCACATGTTATGATGACATTCCATGATTGAAAATGGAATCCAGTGAATAAAAAGAAGCGGTGGGTTAGGTACAGTAAGGTTGGGGAGGAAAGTGCTAGATGATGTTGGATGCCTCCAGCCAGGAAATAAGGCAAACTCTGTCTGATTTGTTGCAGATTCTAACGCACACTGTGAGACACATTAGTGACTTACAGAAGGACAAAGGTGCTGTGCTCTATCTATTGGCAGTGATGTTGTATCAGACCGGTACAGTGTATTGATAACCGTGTCCTATTACAGGGATTGATCCTGGACTTGCTGGTAAGGCAAGCTCAGTCTTTCTCCCCAATTATGACAAATAAATCTCTGATGTAATTCGCAGCCCTTTCCCTCCCTTATATAACATCTGTCAACTGCGACATGCACAAACTTCATTAAAATGCTAATTACAGTAGGATAGTGTGCAATCAGGGAAGCCGGCCTGTCATACAAGCAGACAAATTCTCTTCTACTCGGGAAGAATTCTGCTGGAGCTGAATTTTTTTTTAAATCTCCCCGGAGTTCGACTTTAAGAGCTTTTTAAGGGGTTATGTCAAATGACAGGAATGAATGTGTTTGTGTATTCTGCTCTGCTTACCTTGCAGCACAGGACCGGGCTGGGGTTCTCTCCTTGTTCTCTGTAATTAAAACAAAGATGTGTTATATTTGCTATCTTAGACCAATATGTTTAAAATAAACACACATACATAATAATAATGCTATTTATAATATGCCTACTAATAATAAGGTGTTTACCCATGACAAAAATGATCCTTTATTTCAAGGAACTTATCAGGCTGGAGGCTTTTGCCTGTCTACCTTGAGGCTACCAACCACCATCAAAGGGTGCTAATTAAGCCATAGCACACCATGCAACTGTTATGGGGACCAGGAGCACATGGCAATTTGAAAAATACATTTGGATAAAATTACAACTCAGCTCCGGACTCTGCCACAGGGTGTTCTTCCTCTTTGCATTTCCAGGTTGGACAGTCCAGAAAGCAGCACTGCCATAATGATGTCAGCGCCGCTCTCTGCATTAGTATATTGTGAATTCAGGGCACCTCAGGGGTTGGGACCATGACAGTCTGAACTCACAGTATGTCTTCAGTCTTCTAGGTTGCCTGAAGCTGTGCTTATTCAACCAAGAAGACTAAGGACATCTTGTGGCAGAAAAAAGGTACTGCGGAGAACTATGAATAGAGGTGAACATTACAGTTTTTTTTAACACTGCTGCCTGGGAACCATATACAAAAATAAGCTCAGAGTTGGACTTATTGTCCAATAGATATATATGATAATTGTCTTTATGGTGTATATAATATATATATATATATATATATATATATATATATATATACATACACACACCATAAAGACAATTATCATTCTGTAGTGATAGAGGAATTGCCTTTGAGATTGCGATTAATGAGGAGAGGAACCCCATAAAGGTATGCTGTGGACCTTTAAGTGACAAATTTAAATTCATGAAGGAAGCAGTGCATGCAGGGATGTCTGAGTGCCATTTTTTATATTAAAGGATCAATCCACCCAATTTCATTCCTCTGTAAATGTTGAAGAGGTAAATCTCCTGACAGTCTCTCTTACTCATTTTGATTCTATTGGTGAGATCTCTGGTGTGAGTTCTAGGTCTGCACACCCTCTGTACCTATTATGAGGAGCTCCCACCAACCCTGCTGGATTTTTTTTGTATTTTATAATATGGAGACGGTAACAGCAGCTGGAATACAAAAAGGTGGGCAGGATAGCTCCGGACAGAGTTGGGTAATATCAGCTTCTTCCTTTTTTTTACGGGTCTCCATATTAGAAGATCTGCTTTCACCTCCACTTCCAGTGACAGCTGTAAAACTGAGGATTTCCATCACCAAGCTGAATAAAGCAGATAAATCGCCCAAGCTGGACATAGACAACAAAAACTTGACAGAGGTTCTAACTCTTCCAAACTCACTTGGAAACAAGAAAAATTTGGGATTTACGTACAATTTAAGGGTGAAAAGCTTATTTTTTTCAGGGAAGAGGCTGCACTTACTCTAGAATGTGTTTCCTGGAGAAGACCCTCAGGATGAATTCACACTGCTGGTCCGGCTCCGCCGTCGAGGGGACAATGACGTAAGATCCTGGGAGCAAGTGGAAGTCCTGAGTCACTTCTCTCTCATTAATGAAGATACACTTGTTGTTCACAGGGCGGGTGTACAGGAAGAATTCTTGGGGCAGACGGCTTCTTATACCTTGATACTGTGCAGAGAAGAGGTAACAAGATATAGTTCCATATGGACATTACAAGACAGAGACAATTAAGAAAAAATGTTCTAACCATTCTCTACTCTTTCCAAGAAAGAAAATTAAAAACATGCTTTGTCTACAAATCCAATTTAAAGCCAAAGTTTAATCTTCTTATATATCACCTCCCCCCCAAGATAGTATGAACAGAATTCCAATGAATAAGAGGGTGAAGGCCAGGGACAGTCAGGCTGGGGAGGAAACAGCTAAATGATGCTGGACGTCCTCAAGCAAAAAAATGAGATGGGGGCCCTATCTGACTTGCTGCAGCTTCTAATGCACACTATGAACAATCTCACAAGGTAAGGCAACTATTATCACAGCATGCTGCCTTAGAGCGTAAGCTCTTGGGCACCTTTTGTGTTCATGTACTATTTTTTGTGGGTTTGATCTCTGATTTCTTTAGACTGTAATATACCACAGAAAGCGTTGCCTCTGCATAAATAAAGATTACACCTGCAGACAGCAACAATGTACGTGAGAATCCGCAGAAGTTGGGGGTCTATATTTTGTTTTTTTCTTATATGTATCAACGTCCCCGGCTTGCAATATAAATGAAAAAGACACCGGTTAGCGATTCCGGTCAATAGGAGGATTTATTACCCTTCTCGGGCTTACGACCAGCTACGCTTTTTCAACCTTCACCATTAATCTCACTGTTCAATAAAACCTGCATTTGACCTCTCAGAGTACTGCCATGGTTTTTTTCTAAGCGCCAACCACGGTGGCGTTCATCAAGCCGGCTCTGCCCTTGCTGTTCTGCCATCGGCCAAGTGTGCAATTACATATAATAATTATTATTATTAAATGATGACAGAGCTCTGAAGTATGGAGTCATGAAAGCGACTGTTTGACGCAATCCCGCCTGCCCAGGGTAGACTAATGCTTTGTTTATATCAGCTGCTGAGCGGCATCAATTTTTTGGCATTACGAATGCATTACACCATTGATTTCAACATTGCTGCAAGTGCTCTGCTAACAAAGCTCTGTTTAATAAGGGGCTTGGCTCGATGAAAGTGTAAGAGCCTGGATTTAAAGGATAGCCCTGTGTCCTTTGATAACGATATATATTTATAGATCAAATTTAGAGAAATCTTTTTGCAAATATAAATTTGTATAAAAAATGTACAGTTTTCTTTAGGCTCTTTTTAGTAAAGTGCATAAAAGTCTGAATTCCATTCTTGTGGTTGAGTAAATTACAGGGCTGAGTCAATCACTCTACAGGCCCCTCCCCCCTCCGCCTTCCCCCTGGAACTTCAAAACCTATGGAGAATTCTGATTTGCTCAAATTAAAATCGGCTATGTCAGTGTCTACCCTTGCTTAAAAGTGTAAATTCACCTCTCAGCATCTAATTGAACTGATTGGAATGTAGAACACTACAATGGAGCTCTAAGACCTGGGTTCAGTTTCTATCCGGGCTTTAACTGCATGGTGTGTGCATGTACTCCATTTAGTTCTGTGGGATACCGCCATATCTAGCAATCCATAAATATACTGATAGGCTAATTGACAATGTGATTAAAATGTCCTGAGAGTTGTGAGTTACAACTGCTGTAGGGGCAGTAGATTGTAAGCTCTTCAGGTCAAATGACTAATGTTGGTGTGTATTATTACAGGTACTGTTACAGCACCATCAATTTATGCAGCACTTTACATATATATTGTACATTCACATCAGTCCCTAGACCTCAAGGGGTGTACAATCTAAGGTTTCTAACTCACATTCATACATACACATACTAGGGACAATTTAGACAGGATCTAATTCACCTACTAGCATGTCTTTGGATGTGGGAGGAAACCAGAGTACTAGGAGGAAACCCACGCAAGCACAGGGAGAACTCCAGGCAGGTGGTGCCATGGTTGGGATTTGAACCAACAACTCTAGTACTGCCAGGTGAAAGTGCTAACCACTTAGCCACTGTGCTAAAACTCAAAGTGGTTTTTAACACTAAACTTTTTATTTAAAAAAAAGAATAACAAACATGTCAAACTTACCTACTCTGTGTAATGGTTTTGTACAGAGCAGCCCCGATCCTCCTCTTCTTGGGTCCCCCACCGGCACTCCGGGCTCTTCTCACCTTCCACTGTGTGCCCTCATAGCATGCTGCTTGCTATGGGTGCACTCGTGTGGGCTCGCTCCCAGTCAGTGCTTTGTGTGATTCCATTGACACACAGAATGTGGCTCGGACCCGGCCCCTGTTCCCTCCTCAATGGCTATGATTGACAGGAGCAGGAGCCAGTGGTTCCTGCTGCTATCTCTGAGCCAATGAGGAGGGAGAGAGTGGAGAGAGACACTGCTCTCATGCACAGCACTGGATCAAGTTTGGGCTCATGTATTTATAAGGGGGGGCTGGGGGTGGAGATGCACACAGAATGTTTTGTTCCTTTATTGCAAAGAGTGCATTCAGTTAAAAAAAACCCTTCTACCTTCAGAACCACTTTAAAATGCCCAAAATCTATTTTCTGGCATCATGTTTGACTGTATACAATTTTCTTAAGCAATTTTTTTTTTTTTTTTTTTGTGTGAATCTTTTGCAAAGTTCTTTTCACTTGGAGATTCTGCCATCCAGTTACAAGCTGACAACCCTAAGCCAGAGCCCTGCGAATATCAGCAGCGTTGTCAGCTTGCTCTGCAAGCTCCTTCAGTTGGCCATTGGGCTGCCTATCAGGTCTATCAGATATGTCAGTGAGTCCCTAATGAGAATGTACAATTTGGATTGATCAGTTTACCCATATTTTGACACAGTCACCCAATAGCAGGGCCAGTCTATTTGAATTAGAGTATTATATAAAACTTTCTTGCCTATTGTCCATTTGCCAGTTTGTAAAACTGTTCTTACAGTATCCAGCCAGCTTTGCTGAAAAAGATGAAGGATCAGCATTTCACCGTCTTGTAAAACGTTTTGGGAATAGCAGGACTGGTTAACTTTCAGCTTTTACTTGCAGCTAACATGCCCAAAACAGCTGTAGAGGAGCAAGTGACAATATTATACCGAGGCACCACAACTCTCAGCAAGCTCTGCTCATTCCAATTACAAGGAGCCACAAGGGTTTGCTTGGGGTTGAAGTTCCTCAGCATCTGTACGATGCAGGGGCGGACTGACCATTCGGGAACTTGGGCACTGCCCAAGGGCCCGGGGTCAGTAGGGGCCCCATGAGATGCCCCTGGTAAATTTTCATAGGCTTTTTGGGGTGTGGATTGAGTGTGGGCGAGGACGCAGGGGCCCCATGATCCCCTATTGCCCGGGGCCCCATGATTTGTCAGTCCGCCCCTGGTACGATGTATGTTGCCTGTTTATGCTTTAGCGTGTACTTCATCTGCATGCATTCATTTTTACCTCTTCATAGTGAGTTATAAAATGTCAAGGGTACTCACCTCAAGTGGCACCTGCAAGAGAAGAAAAAAATAAAGAGCCATTAGAATTAGATTATATGTAAAATAGTATAATATAATAGTAACAGCGTCCCCTACAGGAGGAGATAGGTGACACCACTTAAGGAATATACTGTATTTACCACCTATCACAAATTATAGGACTGTTCCGTGAATGCTATGGCCTAAGTAGTAAAATAATCATAATGTTTAGTTACTGTTATACACAAATGTACAATCCATGTCTTCTGGAGCTATTCCACCATTACTACATCTAGCTGCTGTTGGGGCAGGTGACTCCAGATATCATTAGATTGCAGCTTTTAGCCAGTTGGAAGCTGGTATTTCATTCTGAAATATTGCTCCATTTACAAAAAGCTTCTCAGGAACATAGTCAGCATGGTTCTTCCAGTAAGTGGATCGCTCAATAATCTCTACAAAGACAGTGGAAATCCCTTATGAGCTGCTACTACAACAGGTGTCCTACGGGAAGATTTCCCCTCTATTTCTGTTATGGCGACGACTGTAAAATGTTGGATTCTCCATGATTTTCTTTCTCAATGGTAATGTTCACCAGAATAAATAGAAAGGGTGAAACTACTTAGTGGGAACTCAAACAGCAATGAGCGGATCCCTTTGAGAACATGCGTGCGCATGAAACGCGTCAGAGGGGAGCATATGTGCTGATGTCACGCTGCCTCATCCACGTGATGGTCCGGTGGCCATATTTGTACATGCTTTTTATCCATTGATGATTTTATGCTCCACGTGGTTGCTATCTTTTTAATAAAACATACTACACTATATGATACTGTCTCCGGGCTCTATGAGCTTGCCCTCTAGGAGGAACCCCTTTCCTTGGTTCACCGTGGGCTGGAGATGGAGACTTGGCTACTCTACTTTTGATTGTTCATTTGGTGCATCACTGGTTTCTGGAGAGATCCCACCTTCAACCGGGTTACCAGCAGGAGAAACAAGCAGGAACACCCCTTAGTGTGTCATTCCGCTCTGGGCTTGCTTGCTACTTACTTCTGGTGAGTGCATTATGGCGGAGGTGCAGTGCAGTTCCGCCTGGAAGTACTATCATCGTCGGTTCAAATCCCAACCACAGCACCACCTCCCTGGAGTTTGCATGTTCTCTCTGTGCCTGTGTGGGTTTCCTCCCACACTCCAAAGACATGCTGGTAGGTTAATTGGATCCTGTCTAAATTGTTCCTAGTATGTGTATGTATGAATGGGAGGTAGGGACCTTAGATTGTACACCCCTTGAGGGTTAGGGACTGATGTGAAGGTACAATATATATGTAAAGCGCTGCGTAAATTGATGGTGCTATATAAGTACCTGAAATAAATAAATCACTATTTTTTGGGACTATTATGATATTTAGAGGACTTATATATTTTCATTTGTTATTTCGTCCATTTTGTTTCTTCATTGGAGTATTCACTATTCTCTATTTCTTTTTTATGATGTTTCCTTTCTCTTTTACTATCACATTGGTCATCATTGATTATAACACACATTTTTATTAGCGCTGCACATTGATATTATAGTGTTTTGCTTTGGTGGAGACAGAGTGTTTGCTGCTTTACTTTTTCCTTTTTTGTCTTGCGCTTAACATTTATTCTTTGATTAGCAATAGAAACCTGGCAGGGGTTCTAACCTACATACATTGTAAAACTGCACTCCAGAATAAGCAAATATTGTCTAATTACAAGAACCATGTGTATTCTTATTTGAATCTTGCTGTGATTTGTGTATTTCTTCCAGATCTGTGCAGTAATCCAGTGTAAACTTTGCCTCTGTGAAGCAGCTTCCTGTAATAAAGACCAGTCACTGCTGCTCTCTCTCCTTGTGCCAGGTGACTGGTCTTGTCTCCATCCCTTCCTTTAGTTTTCTGCAAGCAGCCTGTAGTGGGTGGGGCCTGCTGAGCCCCTCCCACATCTCTGTTTTCTGCACAAGCAATGCACTGCGAAGGGATGATGTCACTGCTAGTTTTAAAGGCAACATCTGGGTTTTAAAAAGGGAAAATGGATTTATATCTTTTGTGACTACTGAGGAAGACATTTAAATGAAAGTTTTGCTCTCTGAATTCAGCTTTAAGTAAAGTAACATATTCTAAGTAAAGTACAATAAAAAAGTAACAGTAAACATATTCTAAGTAAAGTACCATAAAAAAAAGTTCCCATACCATAAACACAGAGAGCCCTATGAACCATGGTGGGGACTGGTTCCGGTGCTTGTGGTTCTGTTTCTGGAGAAGGGACACCAGGACTCTGCAAGAATTTGTGTATTTCTCCATGTTGTCTCCCTTTAGTATCTTTAGTCGGTACTGGGGGTTCTTCCAGTATGAGTCTACAAGTAAGACAGATAAGAATCCACGGTTACAGTGACGTAGTGCAATACATCATTTTTAAAATAACATAATTGTCCTCACTTTTCAAGTTGCCCCATGCACATATGTAGTTATAAACCAAGAACAGAATTTATACTAAATGTTCAACAAGTACAAAAAGATACCTGTTGATACTGCCAGACATGCAGTGCTGCCTGTGGACTACAGGCTGCAAGTGAACTACAGAACACCCCCATGTTATGGTTAAGAGGAGAGGGGGGAGGTGTCCTATAGGCCAGTCCTAGGATGACAGCGATGTTCCTCCATAAATACAGTACAGTGAGTGACCAATGTCACCCTAGGATAATAAGGGTGTTATTGGCATGAGTACCAGGTGAAAATAAAGGAAAGAAAGACTGAAAAAGAGAAAACTAATGCAACCACGACATCTAGGGACTGGTAGGCTGAAATACATTACAGTTTGTTTGTGGGTTTAGATACACTTTAAAGTGGTAGTAAACCAGCTTTAAAAATTGTCTTTTAAAATTGGGCCCCTGCATGTTTGTGCCATAATGTGCTAGTATGCACTACACATTCGAACATTATAGCAGACTTACCTGTCAAACACAGCCTTCCAGCACTGTGCTGTCACTGTTCCAGCCCCTTCCATCTTCACCTGGTCTTCCTTCCAGGTTCATGATCCCTGGCCACAATGACGCCACTTCAACATGGGAGTCACTTCACCACTGCGCACAGCAGGTGCCAGAAATCTGCACATGCGCGGCTCAGATTACATTACCACTGACAGGCCAGGAGAGGTATTTATAATAGAAAAGACCACTAGAATCTCTTCTGTTATAAAAATCCTACCTGTCAGGTTTTTTTGTTTTTTTTTATTTACTATGAATGTTTCATACCACTTTAAACCTCATTTTAAATCTATAAATATCTATATTAGAAAGATCCTTATTTGCTACAACAATCATTACTTTCAGGAAAGCAAGAAATAAGTTAACAAAAATAAAACTGAAGGCGTCCCAAGCCTTTATGATAAATTTCTACCATTAAAATAGGTACACACATTACAATATGATCTCCCTTAGATTTACCAAAAAACATGTATTGTGAAGAACCACCTAAATGGCAATAAATTGATTGGGTTGTATAAGCAGGTCTTTGCACTACATAGTTCTTTACAAATAAAGAAGATTGTGCAGACATTGTGCAATCAAATTATAACATGGGTGGCCGTTTTAGACAATGATCCTTTAAAACCAAATTTAGATTTTAGTTTAGCGTGAATATGGTGGGTTCATGCTAGTTGAATACAGTGGGGCTATTTTCCTATGCGCTGCTACATATCACTGATGGATTCATAATCAGACACTTGACTTTACCTGTATATGTCATTCTCCCTCCAGCTGTACTTCCAGCAACCCACTTCCCAGTCTGCATGGATAACGTCCACTCCTTCCCATTCTCGTGGCTCATGAGGTCAGGGGTCAGCTTGCAGATAACCAGCTCCACAAACTGAGCCTCAAAGTCTTCAATAGACATCCTGTAACAATTCACAATCAAAATGAGTCATTGGACCAGATTGGGTAGCATGACCTCTTGAGGATATACATAGGTTGACCTTCTCCTGAAAATGCTAGATAATGAACTGCCAAGTTAAATCTCTGCTTTGATACCTTTAAGTTATTGTTTATTGACCCCAAAATTTGGATGCTGTTAGATTTGGACAGAAGTTCATGAATTACGATAACCCAAATTTTAATAGTTTGTATTCCCAAAAGATTTCTGGGAGAAATGGGCCAAAGGCCATGACTTACCTCTGTTTCTGCTGTTCCCTGAGCACCCTTGCTTGACTCCAAGTCCCACCTATCTATCTTAGTATCACTGGTAGAATTTTTAAAAGAAGTGGCTCAGGCTGCCTTATGGTTCTCATTAGGCTGCCAGGAGTTTCCCAAACTGTTCTGCACAATTTAGCATAAATTTCTGCTCTGTAATACACCATTTGTGGAGCCTGATTCCTGTTGACTTCTCTCTGGAGCATACATGCATTGAAGTCAGTTCCTGATCCTGGTTGGTGACCGAGAAAATAATAAAGTTGGGTAAAATGTGGACTTGTCAGGCGTTTTCTCATGTAAGGTTGCTGCAAGGTCCACTTTAAAAATATTAGCGGTGGCCATTTTGCTCCATGACATACTAGCATGTCAGTATATTTGTTTTTCATGGCTAGTGATGCCCAACTGTTTCTTTGGCCTTTGATCTTATGCCAAAGCCAATTTTTTCTTTATTTGGATAAAGCAGGGAATAGTTAGAGCTCTAGCCAGGCATTTAGTTTGCTGTGTGTGTCCCATATGGGAGATTATTCCCTTTACTTCCTATCCAGGACACCTAACAGAATATTAGTGGAAATCTCTCCAAAGTGAGGAGCACTCCCCTTCTGAACAGTTGCCACGAGAACAGGTATACCAAACCAGAGCAGAACTTAAACTGCCAAAATATACTAACACTTCCCTCTTCTTTCTCAATGCTTTGTATTTTCTTGCAGTAATACAGGTGCTCTTTCCATCTCTTGGATCCTACATGCCCTCCTGGAACTCTCACATAATAATCTTTATGATAAGAGCTTTGGCTGGGAGAACCGAGAACCAAGAAAAGTGCAATGCAAAGCGGTTAAGATGGCATCTGTAATATCATTACCAAAACTCTCCATCCTCCCGCGTCTTTCGCAGTAACAGTCTCTCCTTCAGGCTGAGCTGGTCCCATTTGGAGGAGCTGGAACAAAGTCACAAGACAAAATGGATGACTGGAAGGCACTGGGCACATAGATCGATCATATAAATTACAGCGGAGACAAGCGCAAGGAATCGATCCTGCCCACGGCTTATCTGAAATGAGTTTCACGCTGTGTTTTGTGTCAGAGCAGGAAATACTGACACAAACTCTTTTCACATTCTTTTAATAATTTCATGGGGGCTTCTTATAATAATGTGCTCATGAAAAATGTATTTAATATGTAAATGTAACTCTAGGCAAATGTAAATATGCATAACATGTATAGATGTGATATATATATATATATATATATATATATATATACACACACACAAAAAAAATTTTCCCTCAAAAGTTTTAGTAGTGTCAATAAGAAGTGTAAACAATTTGTACTATTCTACTGAAGAAGGAATTTACATTTTTCTTTGTGCAGATGAGCATTGTGCTGGGTATTGCAGGCAGCATGTGCCAGAGAGAAGTGTGGAGGGTATTACATCAGGCAATCTGTGCAGAAAAGGAGCGTGCAAGGTATGATAGAGGGCATTAGGAGCAGGAGAGGAATGCTGAGGCTTATGATGCTTGATGATAGGAACAGGAGAGGAGTGTGGAGGGTATTAATATGGGAAGAATGTGCAGGAGTCGTGTTTTCAGCGTATGAAAGGTATAGTATGTGCAACAGAGGAGTTTGGAGGGTATGACAGCAGGCCATATGTGCAGAAGAGGAGTGTAAATGGAAGAGCCATGGCAATATATGTAGTAAAGGCGTGCTGTGGGTATGGCAATGGGCAGTATGTGCAGAAGAGGAGTGCAGAGAGTATGACAATGGGCAGTATGAGCAGAAAAGGAGTGCAGAGAGTATGACAATGGGCTGCATGTGCAGATGAGGGGTGTTAAGGGAATGCCAGTGGGCAGTATATGCAATAGAGGAGTGGGGAGGGTATGAAAGGGACAGTATGTGCAGAAGAGGAATGTGGAGGGTATGACACCAGGTAGTTTGTGTACGCTGGAGAAGAGTGTTGAGGGAATGCCAGTGGGCAGTATATGCAACAGAGTGGGGAGGGTATGAGAGGGCATGTGTGCAGAAGAGAAGTGTAGAGGGTATGACTGCTGACAATATGTACTGGAGATGAGTTCAAAGTCTGACAGTAAACAGTAGGAGGTGAGGAGTGCAGAGGGAAAGGTCAGCAGTTAGTATATGCAGGAGATGGTTGTAAAGGATATATAACTGTACACAATATAACTGTACACAAGAGGTATTTCAACGGTATGACAATGGGCACTATGTGCAGGAGATGACCATGAGGGGTATGACAAGGGGAACTATGTGCAGGAGATGACTGTGAAGGGTATGACAGTGGGCACTATGTGCAGGAGATGACCATGAAGGGTATGACAGTGGGCACTATGTGCAGGCGATGACCGTGAAAGGTATGACAGTGGGCACTATGTGCAGGAGATGACCGTGAAAGGTATGACAGTGGGCACTATGTGCAGGAGATGACCGTGAAAGGTATGACAGTGGGCACTATGTGCAGGAGATGACCGTGAAGGGTATGACAGTGGGCACTATGTGCAGGCGATGACCGTGAAAGGTATGACAGTGGGCACTATGTGCAGGAGATGACCGTGAAAGGTATGACAGTGGGCACTATGTGCAGGAGATGACCGTGAAAGGTATGACAGTGGGCACTATGTGCAGGAGATGACCGTGAAAGGTATGACAGTGGGCACTATGTGCAGGAGATGACTGTGAAGGGTATGACAGTGGGCACTATGTGCAGGAGATGACCATGAAGGGCATGACAGTGGGCACTATGTGCAGGAGATGACCATGAAGGGTATGACAGTGGGCACTATGTGCAGGAAAGGACCGTGAAGGGTATGACATTCAAATATATGTGCAGGGGAGGCATGTGGAAGATATGACAGTGGGCAGTGTGTACAGGAGAGAAATGTGGAGGGTATAACAGTGGGCACTATGTGCAGGAGAGCAGTGTGGAGGGTATGAGAGGGACAGTATATGTAGGAATATAATGCAGAGGGTGCAAATATGAAGTATAAATTCCCACCTTGTTTACACCAGACTGAAAGTGGAAGTGTCTGCATCAAAAACCAAAAGTCCATACAGTTTTCCTTTGAATTAGGGAGTACTGCACATTAATAGCAAAAGCTGAGCTGTTCAC